TGTATTTATGTGTGTGTATGTGCATATATACCATATATATGGTAAAATCTGTGGATGCAGAATCTGTGGATAAAAAGTCTCAACTGTAAATATTCTTTGATGTCTAGAGTGTGTGTGTGTGTGTGACCACACAATAGATTCCCAATTAACCAGTACCTATGGGGATTACTAGATCGCAGATCATTTTTTTCGTGTCAGGAGTGACTCGAGAAACTGCAAATCACTTCTGGTGTGAGAGAATTGGCCGTCTGCAAGAAGCCCAGATGTTTTATTTATTTATTTATTTATTTATTTACGGCGCTTATATGCTGCCCTTCTCACCCCGAAGGGGACTCAGAGCGGCTTACAATATATATTTTCATACAATATATTATATTATTAGCATAGTACAATATCAGTATATATTACTATATTGCACTATACCATTATATTGTAATATTATTAGTAATATTACATGTAATGTAAATATATAATTATAATTATAATATTGAATTATTATTACTAGTATTATATTGTATTACATTATAAAATTATAAATATTATACGTATATACAATATACTATATTATATTATTAGTAAAGACAAGATGGCAGTGTCTTCTGCTCCCTTCTGTCTTCTCTCTGGCCAGAGCAGTCGTTGGTGCCAGAAGGGGGAGGGGCCTCTCAAGTGATGATATAGGCAGAAGACAAGATGGCAGTGTCTTCTGCTCCCTTCTGTCTTCTCTCTGGCCAGAGCAGCCGTTGGTGCCAGAAGGGGGAGGGGCCTCTCAAGTGATGATATAGGCAGAAGACAAGATGGCAGTGTCTTCTGCTCCCCTCTGTCTCCTCTCTGGCCAGAGCAGCCGTTGGTGCCAGAAGGGGGAGGGGCCTCTCAAGTGATGATATAGGCAGAAGACAAGATGGCAGTGTCTTCTGCTCCCCTTCTGTCTTCTCTCTGGCCAGAGCAGTCGTTGGTGCCAGAAGGGGGAGGGGCCTCTGAAGTGATGATATAGGCAGAAGACAAGGTGGAAGTGTCTTCTGCTCCCCTCTGCCTTCACTCTGGCCAGAGCAGCAGTTGGTGCCAGAGTGGGGAGGGGCCTCCCAACTGATTATATAGGCAGAAGACAAGTTGGAACTGTCTTCTGCTCCCCTCTGTCTTCTAAATTCTCTCTGGCCAGAGCAGTCGTTGGTGCCAGAAGGGGGAGGGGCCTCTGAAGTGATGATATAGGCAGAAGACAAGATGGCAGTGTCTTCTGCTCCCCTCTGTCTTCCCTCTGGCCAGAGCAGTCGTTGGTGCCAGAAGGGGGAGGGGCCTCTGAAGTGATGATAGGCAGAAGACAAGATGGCAGTGTCTTCTGCTCCCTTCTGTCTTCCCTCTGGCCAGAGCAGTCGTTGGTGCCAGAAGGGGGAGGGGCCTCTGAAGTGATGATATAGGCAGAAGACAAGATGGCAGTGTCTTCTGCTCCCTTCTGTCTTCCCTCTGGCCAGAGCAGTCGTTGGTGCCAGAAGGGGGAGGGGCCTCTGAAGTGATGATATAGGCAGAAGACAAGATGGCAGTGTCTTCTGCTCCCTTCTGTCTTCTCTCTGGCCAGAGCAGTCGTTGGTGCCAGAAGGGGGAGGGGCCTCTGAAGTGATGATATAGGCAGAAGACAAGATGGCAGTGTCTTCTGCTCCCCTCTGTCTTCCCTCTGGCCAGAGCAGTCGTTGGTGCCACCATCCTGTGGGAGGCTTCTCTCATGTTTCCACATGAGAAGCTGGAGCTAACAGATGGGAGTTCACCCTGCTCCCCCGATTCGAACCACCGACCTTTTGGATAGCAGTCCTGAATTTTGGTTGCTTGAGTTCCAGTTCAAAGTATGGATGGTTGAATCCATGGATTGGAAGGTCCAACTGTATTTCTTCTTGGCTATATCACATATATAGATGTATGTGTATGTGAGTGTGTGTAAGTTAGTCATGTAGATATATAGAAATATGTATGTGGTGTGTGTGTGTATACACATATAGGTCCAACTATATTTTTTCTTGTCACATATATAGATATATAGAAATATGTGTAAGTGTAAGTTAGATATATATGTAGATATATAGAAATATATATGTGATGTGTGTGTGTATACACATATATATACACACACACATACTTTTGTGGATGGTTGAATCCATGGATTGAAAGGTCCGACTATATTTCATCTTTGTTATGTCACATCATAGATATATAGAAATGTGTGTGTATACACACACATATATACACATACCTTTGTGAATGGTTGAATCCATGAATTGGAAGGTCCGACTATATTTCTTCTTAGCTGTCACATATATAGATATATAGAAATATATGTGTGTGTGTGTAAGTTAGATATATATGTGGATATATAGAAATATGTGTGTGATGTGTGTATACACACATATATACACACATACTTTTGTGGCTGGTTGAAACCATGGATTGGAAGGTCCGACTATATTTCATGTTTGCTATGTCACATCATAGATATACAGAAATGTGAGTATTCACACATATATACACATACGTTTGTGTATGGTTGAATCCATGGATTGGAAGGTCCAACTATATTACATTTTGCTATGTCACATCATAGATATACAGAAATGTGTGTGTATACACACAAATATATACACATGCGTTTGTGGATGGTTGAATCCATGGATTGGAAGGTCCGACTATATTTCTTCTTGGCTGTCACATATATAGATATATAGAAATATGTGTGTGTGTAAGTTAGATATATATGTAGATATATAGAAATATATATGTGATGTGTGTGTGTATACACATATATATACACACACACATACTTTTGTGGATGGTTGAATCTATGGATTGAAAGGTCCGACTATATTTCACCTTTGCTATGTCACATCATAGATATACAAAAATGTGTGTATACACACATATATATACACAAACGTTTGTGGATGGTTGAATCCATGGATTGGAAGGTCCAACTATATTTCATCTTTGTTATGTCACATCATAGATATACAGAAATGTGTATATACACACATACGTTTGTGCATGGTTGAATCCATGGATTGGAAGGTCCGACTATATTTCATCTTTGTTATGACACATCATAGATATACAGAAATGTGTGTATACACATTTGTGGATGGTTGAATCCATGGATTGGAAGGTCCGACTATATTTCTCCTTGGCTATGTCACATATATTTATATATAGAAATATGTATGTGGTGTGTGTGTGTGTATGTATATATATTATACACACACACACTTCTGTGGATGGTTGAATCCATGGATTTGCAGGTCCAGCTATATTTCTTCTTGGCTATTTCACATACATAGATATATGTATGTATATATGTGTGTGTAAATTAGACATGTAAATTAGACATATATGTAGATATATAAAATGTGTATGTACATGATGTGATGTGTGTACACATATAGGTCCAACTATATTTCTTCTTGGCTGTTACATATAAAGATATATAGAAATGATGTATAGAAATACACAACATACTTTTTTCTAGTACTCAAAAATCCTTCATAAAAATCCTTAATACCAAAAGGGAGACTGGACTCAATCTTTCCAGTATTAGACATATATGTAGATATATATAAATGTGTATGTATGTGGTGTGTGTACACATATAGGTCCAAGTATATTTCCTCTTGGCTGTCACATATAAAGATATATAGAAATGATGTATAGAAATACACAACATACTTTTTTCTAGTACTCAGAAATCCTTCATAAAAATCCTTAATACCAAAAGGGAGACTGGACTCAATCTTTCCAGTATTAGACATATATGTAGATATATATAAATGTGTATGTATGTGGTGTGTGTACACATATAGGTCCAACTATATTTCCTCTTGGCTGTCACATATAAAGATATATAGAAATGATGTATAGAAATACACAACATACTTTTTTCTAGTACTCAGAAATCCTTCATAAAAATCCTTAATACCAAAAGGGAGACTGGACTCAATCTTTCCAGTATTAGACATATATGTAGATATATATAAATGTGTATGTATGTAGTGTGTGTACACATATAGGTCCAACTATATTTCCTCTTGGCTGTCACATATAAAGATATATAGAAATGATGTATAGAAATACACAACATACTTTTTTCTAGTACTCAAAAATCCTTCATAAAAATCCTTAATACCAAAAGGGAGACTGGACTCAATCTTTCCAGTATTAGACATATATGTAGATATATATAAATGTGTATGCATGTGATGTGTGTACACATATAGGTCCAGCTATATTTCTTCTTGGCTATTTCACATACATAGATATATGTACGTATATGTGTGTAAGTTAGATATATATGTAGATATATATAAATGTGTATGCATGTGATGTGTGTACACATATAGGTCCAACTATATTTCTTCTTGGCTGTCACATATAAAGATATATAGAAATGATATATAGACATATATGTAGATATACGCAAACATGCTTTTTTCTAGTACTCAGAAATCCTTCATAAAAATCCTTAATACCAAAAGGGAGACTGGACTCAATCTTTCTAACTGTTAGGAATTGTGGGAGTTGGAGTCCAATACAACTGGAGGGCCGAGGTTTGCCCGTGCCTGTATCTATAGGGTGGGAAACGAATGGGACATGCCTGGAAGGGCCTGGAGGATGCTACACGAAGAGCCTCTGCGCCCAACCAGCCTGCCTGCCTGCCTGCCTCCCGCCCTAGACGCGGCCTCACCTGGTGAAGGCGAAGGCCATGAGGCTGAGGGTGGTGAAGCTGAGGAGGGTGATGGTGTGGGGCCGGTAGAAGAACTCCAGCGTGATATCCTCCACCTGCTGCTCGTTGATCATGCGGAAGTGCAGCCGGTAATTCACGTCGTCTTTGCTCAGGGTCCGGCTCCCGCCGTAAGACGCCATGCCTCCGGCTCGGGTTTCCCTTCCCTTCGCCCCCGCCAAGGAGGAGGAGGGACGGGCCTGGCTTGGCTTTCCCCCGCAGGCCCTCCAGGGGAGGAGCCTCTGCCGCCCTCCAAGCCTCGCCTCCGCGCTCGGCGTCACAGGCCTTCCTGCGCGTTTGGGAAGCGAGGCCTCCTCACCTCCTCCACGCCTCGCGCCGCTTTTTGAAGTAACGGCTTGATTCAGGGAAGGTGAGTTGACTGAGTGAACTTCCGCTTGTCCTTTTCGGGAAACTGGCCCTTTAAGGCAGGCCTCCTCAAACTCCTCTTCTTTTGAGCCTCCAACTCCCAGAATTCCTGACTATTGAACAAGCTGGCAAAGGCTTCTGGGAGTTGGAGGCCAAGGGGGGCTGCATTTGGAGGAGGCCTGCTTGCCTTCTGAGGAGGGTAGACCATAGTGTTGTGGCCTAGTTCTCCAAAGAGAGTTGTAACCTAGCTTCTACAATAGTGGGAAATGTCACCCAGAATATAGAACAGGCATGGGCCAACTTGGGCCCTCCAGGTGTTTTGGACTTCAACTCCCACCATTCCTAACAGCCTCAGGCCCTGAAAGGGCCTAAGGCTGTTAGGAATGGTGGGAGTTGAAGTCCAAAACACCTGGAGGGCATAGAATCAGAGTTGGAAGAGACCACATGAGCATCTAGTCCAACCCCCTGCCATGCAGGAAAAGCACAATCAAAGTACCCCTGACAAGTAGCCATCCAGCCTCTGTTTAAAAGCCTCCAAGGAAGGAGCTTCCACCACACTCCTAGGCGGAGAGTTCCGCCATTGAACAGCTCATTCAGGAAGTTCTTCCTAATGTTGAGGTGGAATCTCCTCTCCTGTAATATTAAACCATTGCTGCAAGTCCTAGTTTTATTTATTTATTTATTTATTTTCGGTTCCTTTTACCCCGCCCTTCTCAACCCCCGAGCTTCCAAGGAAGGAGCTTCCATCACACCCCTAGGCAGAGAGTTCCGCCGTTGAACAGTTCCTACATTCAGGAACTTCTTCCTAATGTTCAGGTGGAATCTCCTCTCCTGTAATATTAAACCATTGCTCCAAGTCATAGTTTAAAAGCTTCCAAGGAAGGAGTTTCTACCACACCCCAGGCAGAGAGTTCCGCTGTTGAACAGCTCATACATTCAGGAAGTTCTTCCTAATGTTCAGGCGTAATCTCCTCTCCTGTAATATTAAACCATTGCTCCAAGTCATAGTTTGTTTTTTTAAAAATAATTTTTATTGTTGTTTTGTTACAATATATACATAAATATAAACATAAGACATAGAACACTAGGAGCTCCAAGTCATAGTTTAAAAGCTTCCAAGGAAGGCGCTTCCACCACATTCCTAGGCAGAGAGTTCCGCTGTTGAACAGCTCCTACATTCAGGAAGTTCTTCCTAATGTTCAGGTGGAATCTCCTCTCCTGTAATATTAAACCATTGCTCCAAGTCCTAGTTTAAAAGCTTCCAAGGAAGGAGTTTCCATCACACCCCTAGGCAGAGAGTTCCGCCGTTGAACAGTTGTTGTTATTATTATTATTATTTCTGGTACTTTTACCCCGCCCTTCTCAACCCCCGAAGGAGGACTCAGGGCAGCTTACAAAAAGGCACAATTTGATGCCTATATAAATTACACATAATATACAAAACCATAGTTAAAAGCAGTTATCARAGTTAAACAATCAAACAACCAGTACATAACACATCATATAAAYCTATTCTCATGATCCTACATTCAGGAAGTTCTTCCTAATGTTCAGGTGGAATCTCCTCTCCTGTAATATTAAACCATTGCTCCAAGTCCTAGTTTAAAAGCTTCCAAGGAAGGAGCTTCCACCACACCCCTAGGCAGAGAGTTCCGCCGTTGAACAGCTCCTACATTCAGGAAGTTCTTCCTAATGTTCAGGTGTAATCTCCTCTCCTGTAATATTGGACCATTGCTCCAAGTCCTAGTTTAAAAGCTTCCAAGGAAGGAGCTTCCACCACACTCCTAGGTGGAGAGTTCCACCGTTGAACAGTTCCTACATTCAGGAAGTTCTTCCTAATGTTCAGGTGGAATCTCCTCTCCTGTAATATTAAACCATTGCTCCAAGTCATAGTTTAAAAGCTTCCAAGGAAGGAGTTTCCACCGCACCCCTAGGCGGGGAGTTCTGCAGTTGAACAGCTCGTACATTCAGGAAGTTCAGGTGGGATCTCCTCTCCAAGTCCTAGTTTAAACAGCAGCAGAAAGCAAACCTGCTCCCTCTTCCTTGTGACATCCTTTCACATATTTATATATGGCTATCATGTCTCCTCTCAACCCTCTTTTCTGCAGGCTAAACATACTGAGTTCTTTAAGATGCTCCTCATAGGGATTCATGGTATCCAGACCTTTGATCATTTTATTTATTTATTATTTACAGCATTTATATACCGCTTTTCTAACCCCTAGGGCAGGGGTAGGGAACCTTTGGCCCTCCAGCTGTGGTGGACTTCAACTCCCACAATTCCTTGAGCCTCGGCATTCGCCCCAAAGGCTTACCTTGGCCCAATGCCGAGCCTCAAGGAATTGTGGGAGTTGAAGTCCACCACAGCTGGAGGGCCAAAGGTTCCCTACCCCTGCCCTAGGGGGATTCAAAGCAGTTTACACCTACTACAATAGTAAAACCGCATTTTAAACATATATCATATTAAAAACAGTACATCATCAAATATCAAAACAGTTATTTAAAACCATAAAACAATCTCATCCGTCGAGTCGTCGTTCCAGTCCTTGTCCCACTAAAAGCTGCATACATCTAGTTGCCCTCCTCTGGGCACCTTCCAGCTTGTCAATATCTCTTTTGAACTGTGGTGCCCAGGTGAGGTCTAACCAAAGCAGAATACAAAAGTGCCATGACTTCCCTTGATCTAGACAAGGGGTCCTCAAACTAAGGCCCGGGGGCCGGATACGGCCCTCCAAGGTCATTTACCTGGCCCTTGCTCCGCATCAACCTAAGTCTGAAATGACTTGAAAGCACACAACAACAACAATCCTATCTCATCAGCCAAAAGCAGGCCCACACTTCCCACTGAAATACTAATAAGTTTATATTTGTTAAAATTGTTCTTCATTTTAATTATTGTATTGTTTTTAAGTGTTCTTTTGCACTACAAATAAGATATGTGCAGTGTGCATAGGAATTCATTCATGTTGGTTTTTAAAATTATAATCCAGCCCTCCAACAGTTTGAGGGACTGTGACCTGGCTCTCTGTTTAAAAAGTGTGAGGACCCCTGTTCTAGACCAATGGTTCCCAACCTTTTTTTGACCAGGGCCCACTTGACCGGGGACCGCTTTGACCAGGGACCGCTCTCCAACATTAGTACCAAAAGGGGTGGGGCTGATTAGGAGTGAAAATAAATAAAGAGGAAGGAGGTTTGCAGACCGGATTTTCATTCTTGTGGCCCACAGGTTGAGAACCACTGATCTAGACACTGATTCTTTTGATGCAGCCCAAAATCCAATTGGCTTTTTAAGCTGCTGCATCACATTGTTGGTCCATGTTCAAATAGTAGTCCATGAAGACACCAAGACCTTTCTCACATGGACTGCTGTCAAGCCAGGCATCACCCAGCCTGTTTCTTTGTGTTTTATTTATTTATTTTGCCTAAGTGTAGTACCTTACATTTGTCCTTGTTGAAATTCATTTTATTAGTTTGATTCTGTCATTTGTTCACTTGTTCACATAGAAAACTGAATTTTAAAGACAGGGAGGGGATGATTGCAGTCCGAAAGTGGGATATAAATATAAATACCAGTAAATATAATCCAGTCGACTCTTGGTTAACCAGAACTCTCAAATAACCAGGAAAAATTGAACTAAAATTGCATTCTGCATTCACAAAATTGTTTATATAACACAGTAAACCTGTGTTATAATAACTACAGGTTGTCTTTGTTTGTCTTAATTTGCTTTTAATTGCTGTATTTCAATATTAATATTAAAGAAGTACAGAATTTATGCTATGGTACATCAAGTATTAGGCTCATTGTTAATAGTAACTCTCAAACTATATTTATCCAGCACCTAACAATCCTCATGGGTGCAGGTTAAATGAAAATTTACTTTAATAACAATAATTTAGGTTAAAGATCTGTCACTTGTATCCCCCACAGAAGAGAGCTTGCATAAGGGAAAGTGGTTTCAACATTGGGCCATGGGTGCAGAATGAATGCAGTTTTAGACCACTTTAACTGCTACAGTTTAATACCATGGGAGCTGCAGGTTTCCAAGGCCTTTCACCTTCTCTGCCTGCTAGTTTCTCAGGAAATTACAACTCCCATGATCCCATAGCATTGAATCACGGCAACTAATGTGATGTCAAACAGCATTCATTCTACAGTGTATAGCTCAAGCATGGGCAAACTTCGGCCCGCCAGATGTTTTGGACTTCAACTCCCACAATTTCTAACAGCTGGTAGGCAGTTAGGAATTCTGGGAGTTAGAAGTCCAACACATCTGGAGAGCCAAAGTTTACCCATGTCTGGTATGGATGCACCCTGTGATGCTGAAAGAACTAGGTTTCAAATCCCAACTCACCACTGATGGGCCTTGGGTGAGTTATACTATCTCAGCCCCAAAGGAAGGCAATTGCAACCCTCCTTTGAACAAACTTGTCAAGAAAACCCAGTTTTGGGGGTCGCAGTAAGTCGGACATGAAGGAATATAATAACAATCCCAATAGACAAGTCCCACCGTTTTCTGTGTTCCAGGTAACATCTTTAAAAGTATAGATTGACTAGTCTGAAATTGTTCATGAGGGTGGCTGAGATAGTGACACCTTTGCTTTCTGATGGTTCAGTGTAAGCAAACTTTATAACATGTACAAGATATGCTTTTAAAATATTGGGTATAAAATTACCTTTAGATTATGTGTACAGTATAAGGTGTAGAGTCAGCCATCAACCAGTCACTGCTTGAAGACACAATAATAATTTGAATATTCCCATAACTGTTCTCTCTCATTTGTTCAATTACAGAACAACTTCAGTAAGATGGCATTATTGACTCAAAAGATATCTAGATGCTCTCCCTTGGTGAAAACTTCTGTTATTGTAAGCTGCACAAAACAACTGAGAAAACAATCCATCAAAACCTGGACACTTCCTCCTGAACAATTGGGTTTGCCACTATTTTCCCACTACAGAAAATGTTGCCAACCAGTATTAAAGTACTCTAGGAGTTTGCCTTTTGGTAACCATGTGCCGTGCTGCTGTTCAAGTACTGATCTGATTCCGAATACAGAAAACAAATCTCTTTCTTTAGTCAATAAACTGGAAAATGAAGTAGGACCTAATAAAGATATGAACACAATGCCTGAAGGTAAGAAATCTATAGAATATATATTGTGTAAATTGAGATTTTCCTAACATCATATCCTAAAATTTCACCTGCCTTTTATGCTTGCAGAGGCATACAATTATTAAATAGCTCATCACTAATTTCTTAAGGATTTGACCATACTAGTTCACTTGAGAAAGTGATAGTTGACATAAATTGTTGCATTATATTTCAGACACAGTGGTACAAATATCTGCGTCATTGGCTATTCATGTTTATTATTCCAAAGATTCACTGAGCTAGTGGGGAAGATTACAACATTGTACTTAAATTAGGAATATTCAACTTGGAATAGATGCTTAACCATAAATTTAATTTTCTCAGCTTTAACTCCTGGCATTCTTTACATCTACTTCAAATAAAGTTCTGGGGATAAAATGTGGGGTGTTGTTAGAGAAAGAGCAAAGCAAAAGAGTAAACAATAAATAAAATATATTATTGAAGGACTTAATATAGTGGGTTGGGAATACATGTTCTGGTGTTGTAGCATTTGCACTAGCATCTATCTATCTATTAATCTTTTATATCTTGCCTTTTCACAAATGTGGAACTTGTGGTGGCTTCCAAAAAACAGAAAATACCCCCCACAAAGAGTTTTAAAGTTTCATTTTAAAGCAATGGTCATATTCAGTATAACATCATTAACGGCTCTCCACTTGTTAATAATAAATTCCCAAAGGCTTGCTTGAATAGAAAAGTCTTTCATTGCCACCAAAAAATTAACAAAGATTCTAATTCCAAATTGGGGAACAACCACAAGAAATCAACCCCTCTTCTGTTACCACCAAACAAGCCTGTGAAAGAGGTAGACAAAGAAAAGTTAATTCTCTGAGCACCATACTTTTCACAGACTCATAGAGGAACATATAATCCTTTAGATATCCACAACCATATAGGATTTTATAGGTAGTCACCATCACTTCAAATGGCGTTCTGATTATTAGCAGTGGTTGAAAAAAGCAAAACTGTATTACTTGTGATTCAGCCACCTGGTGGTGCTCTTGTATTATTTTCTTTCTGTGACTCTGATAACATTTAATTTAGTACAGAGTAGATAAACCTATTGTGTGTAAAGTGGAAAATGTGTTGTAGTACTCTTATACAGAAGACAATGTGATCTAGATTGAGAGCCATTCAAGCAGTGGAACACTGCGTGGTGGAGGCTCCTTCTTTGGAGGTTTTTAAACAGAGGCTAGATGGCCATCTGCCAGGGGTGCTTTGAATGCAATATTCTTGCTTCTTGGCAGGGGGTTGGACTGGATGGTCCATGAGGTCTCTTACAACTCTATGATTCTATGATTCTAGATAATAGTAATAATATTAATAATAATACTAACTTTATTTTTGTACCCTGCCTCCGTCCTTTCAAAGGGACTTGGGGCAGCTTATATATGTCATAAAGTGCCTAAAAACAATGCATAAAATAAACACACAGTACAATATAAAAAGTAAAACCAATAGCACATAAAACAAAAATTTAAAATTCAGAACAACGCCCAATAACCTATGGTGACAACTGTCACTAGACATGGCCAAACTGTAAACAAGACAAGGGAATGGGATAGTGCAAATTGTAGCTAAGGAACAAGGGCATGGGATGAAAGTGCAGTGCTATGTCATTAATTGCGGACCATTGGGGGTAGACATTCTCAAAGTCTTGTTTAAACATTCAAGTCTTTGAATCCCTTTGGAAGGAGGACAGTGTGGGGGCCTGCCTAATCTCCCTGGGGAAGATGTTCCAAAGTTGGGGGGTGACCACCAAAAAGGCCCTCTCCTTCATCCCTACCAACCGCGATTCAGTTGTCCATTCCCTGATTGTTTATATACTACTGACCTGGCGGTGTCAATAAGGCGCATACAAGGCACAGAGATAAAATCATAGATTTTGTAATTAAAGCTAATACATTGACCAACTTGGTATCCAAACACTACAATATTGGAATATTAAGAACCTCCAATTCAATAAAAACAAAGGTAGAATTACTGAACGTCTTCCAGAAATGTTGCCCACGAGGAAACAGGTGGATCTTTTTTAACAGAGCACTGCTCAGACTTTCGACACTACCAAGATGCTTCTATATGCGCCATAGTGAACTATGAACATGAACTTAAGCCAGTTGCACCCTCTTACACTGAATTGTGAGCATAAAGAGATGAGTGGGTGAAATAAAGTGTAGGTAAGATAAACAAGTAACAATGAAAACCCTTATAGTATGTAGATGTTTATGCATTAATATGTTTGCAAGGTGATAATACCATAATTCTGATGACCAGTGACTGCTCCCACTGATTAAGCCATTAAATACTTGGGAATAGCAGAAAACAATAAAACTGTTGTGTAATTATGTTTCACTGCATGCTTGAATCCATTCACCATATGTAAAATTTACCATCTGTATGGTGGCCTGCTATTGCCTTCTCCAATGTTTTCCTTCTGCTGTGATGGCCCATAGATTTGGAAGATGGATTACCTTCATCTGCTTTGGAGGAGATTTCAGAAGATGAAGCCCTTCAAATCCTAGCGAAGCCACCACTACCTTTTGAATCTTTCACACTTCAAGATTATGTTGATCGTTCAGAAACTTTGCAGAAGCTGGTGCTTCTAGGTAAGCATAGGTTTACATGGCAGGCTTTTGGGGAGTGAGCCAGAAAATATTTAGTAAATATGCAGTTTTGCTGCAGAAGAGGCCACTGTGCTTTTTCTGGCAACAGGAGCCTTTGAGTAACAGAATTTATACAAAAATATAGCCAATATAATCTGCTCTCATAAGATAGATGTCACTAGAAAGCTATGTTCCACTGCAGAAGTGTTATCCATATTTCTCAATGACAGGAAGCAACTTTCAGTTCTATGCCTTTGAAAGGGCATGCACTTTGCACTTTTTCAGGAGGCCCCTTCTGACATGGGACGGCAGCGCAGGAAGACACACCAAGTTGAATCTCTCTGAAGATAGCTTTATTTGCTGGCCAAGTAAATGGCGCCAGATGTGCTTTAGGCATGAAAATACTGGCGCGCTCCCAAGATGGGGTTGCAAACTTTTATTATTTTACAGAAATCTACAAAGCACATTTTGATTGGTGTTAATGTACTGTCCATATGCTTACTTAAAAATTTCTGATTTGCTCTGTTACTAAGCAAGCAAACAGGTGAAAAACAGCAAAAACTGGAAATTTACTGTAACTTCATATCTTCTTCAAGTAACCCTGACTTACGGGGATGTGCTTGGCGGGCACCGGCTTATCTTTTAGTTACAAGTGAAAGCAAGAATGCTGTGTGAAAGAATAGGGAGGGTAGGCATGAGGGCTGTTCCTCTAACTGCAGTGGCCACTCTTTTTTAAAGCTATATTGTTGTGTGTATACACTTTACAGATGGAACCTCCAGTCCTTTATAAGATTATAAAATCTTATAAAGCTACATCTCCTTCATTTTTATCTTTTGTTCTTGAAATATGAGAAATCTTGGGAAGATCAAACTTTTCCAAATGTTGGAAATCTTGAATTACAGTTTTAGAAGTCCCACAATCTGAGGCAGCTTTGAAGATCTTTATGCTATTATTGTTAGTGATGTATAGCTGTGTATTGTGCTCATTTGGACTCTACTTAGCAACATCAAGAGTTCCAAGACAATATGATAAGGATGACTTTGTAACAAAGAAATTAGGTTGAATTCATATGTAATCACAATGAGAGCAGGCTTATTGAAATTATTGGGACTCAGGCCTACTTAGCTATAGTTGACCAACTCTTATGAATGACCAGCCTACTCTACACAAACTTATATGGCTTGCTTACAGATATTTCTATCATTTCATAAACATATTTTTATTGGACATCTAGCTAAAATGTATTTGTTGAATGTGCTGCAGGAGTCGATTTATCCAAAGTGGAACAACGTCCAGGTGCAGGCCAACTTCTTCTGAAATTAGACTTTGAAAAAGATATAAGCAAAATCCTTCTCTTCCTTAAGGATGTTGGCGTCGAAGAGAAACAGCTTGGTGAATTCCTCACTAGAAATCCTTATATTCTCAGAGAAGACGTGGAAGATCTAGAGACAAGGTAAAATATTCTCTAGACATCCACTCATCATGTTGCTCAGATAAGACTGCAATCATTATTATTTTTCTCCCCATAATTGGTTCCTATATGGGTTTTGCTTAAACACGGATTAACTGGATTAGGGGAATATCCATAATGTAGGCTGATCCATAATGTAAAATATCCTATCTCTACAATGCAGCATCTGCTATCCAGAAGAAGGTCAAGTTCCATTCACATTGCACATGATTGTTTCCAAATGGGGCCCAGAAATTAGTATGGATTTTACATATATTATTTCTGCTTTCTTTGGAACCTTTCCTGAAGTGGGTAAAAAAAAAGATGGTTTTGTATATTTTAAGTGGAATTTGGAAAGCATTTTGAATTATCGCTGCATAATTGGGTTGCTGGCACTTTTCTAAAGACTGCAGTGTTAAAGAAATTTGCTTCCCTTATGTGGACACCAATTAAAGGATAGCTTTTTCAAGGAAGACTAGAATTTTTTCAGTGAATTGGACACAAACCTAGGTTAAAACTGACTGCATAAAAATACTGTTGGGGAGGGGGAATCAAACAGTCTTTTTATTGGAATTATTCTTGGAGCCTATTGTGTTTGGTGAAGTAAAAGAAAACAAACAAAGAAAGTGGGAAGTTGGCTAGTGAGGCATTTTATGTGCCTCACGCTTCCGATTGAAGGCGTGTTTTTAGTTGTTCTGGCTGAAAGAAGGAGGGAAAAAACCTCTTTATTGATAATGGGAAGATTTCTTCTTGTAGGAAAATATATCCTAAACATGTGGAATTAAAACAAAATTTATGGACCATAGATGTAAAGTGAATGCAACATTCTTGCTCTTGTCAATTTTTGCTTGTAAGAGAATATGCAAAGCTGATCGCCCAGACCATGCAGGTCTTACTATTATGAATCCTGTGTTGCTTCCTGTTTTCTTGGGCATTCCTTGAACAGATATTTGTATCAGAGGCAGAAGTAACATGGAAAGAATTAGACTCAGGTCCTACACTTCAAAAAAGGAAAGGAAAGAGAAAACAGTTGTTGATTCAAATCTAACAATACGTACCAGTGAATTGAAACAGCCTTGTCAAGCGAGCCTTGCATAAATAACAAGAGCACTTCAAACTTCCACTTTAAAGCTTCTTCTAGATTGGAATTGAGGATCTGTTTTTTTTTTCTTTCTTTCACTAGTCTCCACTTTTAATGATTTATGTCTTGCTGGCCAAACAGATCTGTGCTTTGCTAACATGTTGCATGTAGCTGGTTAGACTACTATCTGCTCCCATAGCATAAAAATATAATTTGCTTAAATAAAACAAAAAGCTAGAGGGAAGGAGCAGAGGGGGGGAAAGCTTGAAATGATTTCAGATCAGAATGTAAGGTTTTTGTAAAAAAAAAAAGGGGGGGGGACTGTTATTACTGAACCATTTTTAACTCCTTTTTCTAGCCTTTTTATCTGCAAGTTAATTTAAATTGTTCTAACACTCTGATAACCAATACTTTAATCCTATTCTAATTGATTTTTTCATGTTTCACACTATATTTGTTTTAAATTGTAAGCTTTGTACCCCAGTTTTGAGACAAGAACAGAGGATAAGCAAAAATAATGATAGAGGTGGTGGTGATTTTGTCACATGGCTTTCTCGCTTAATGCGTGAGAATGCAATAGTCTGTCATCTGCTTCTACATAAACTTCAGGAAGGTTTTGAACTGAAAAAATAGGACATTTATAGTTTGTCCTATGTATGCCTCAAAGTTGGTACTGATAAGAGGCTTTGACTAATTTATTTTTCCCTTGATTTCATTACTGCATGATGGAGATATATATAGTTGAGAAAAACTTGCTGGTTCAAGACTACTCAGAAAGTATATATTCAGAGAGGGGGGGATCTAAATCATGGTTTCTAGGGCTTAACAGTGAAACTACTCCTAGAAACCATGCTGCTGAGATGAACAAGGTTTTATTACACTGTAAACAACCATAAAATGGGTTGAGAAGTTGTATGATCTATTTCAAAAGGAGATACTTTGAAGCTATTATGTATGGTTATGTTTAACTTCTAAATAATGGTTTCTGGTGGAATTAGCCCTTCACCTTTTGTTGATGTAAGATTTTCTTCATTATCTTTAGAAGTCTTTGTTTTAAACCCATTTTTATTAAGAAAATGACTTTTTGAAATACTTTCTAAGAAAAAACTTTTTGGAACCAGAAGAGCTCAGCTGGTTGAACTAGGCTGGTACTGACCAAATTCTTAAATACAGCTGGAAATCATTAAGCTAATATTTCAGTATTATTTCATGTTGGAGTGTTTATTTTCTTTGTTTTTAATTGGAAATCATGATGTTATGTTTTGTCATACCTGCAGTCTTTCCCACCCATCTTCTTGGCAGGTTTCAGTTGTTAATATTGTTAAAACATCTGTCATTTTGATAGATGCTGCTGGGAAACTGGCATCGCTGAACACATTTTGGTCATTCGAATTTTAATTGGGATGTTTCTGTCTCCTCCAGGGTAGCATATCTAATATCAAAAAAATTCAGCAAGGAAGCAATTGCACGGATGGTCTCGAAGGCTCCATATTTACTTCTATTTTCTGTGGAAAGACTGGATAATAGGTTAGGTTTCTTCCAGAAAGAACTTGGACTAAACAATAAAAAGGTACCTTTACCTTTCACTTCAGTAATTATACATGATCCTGCTTCAAGGGCATGGAAGCCAGGAAGTACTGAAGAAAGTACTTACGAAGTTGTAAAAGCTGGTCGTTTCCCTGGATTGTTACACATTACCTCTCATCCTGCCATCTTCAACTTGTATATGACACAATAGTACAGCCACATTTATTCCGATTGCTAATGACTTCCAGTTGGTTTAGATTTTTAAATGTCTCCATTTTCGATGGAGCAGTGCTGACATTAATAAATGACACACTGTTTTGAAATCTCAAATAACTTTAGGTCATGTAATGGAAGCTCAGGTAGACATGCGAGTGCAATTTATTGTGACCTTATCCTGCAGATTGCTAAAATTTCATATTTTGCAGTAAAACTCATTTCTGCACTTGTAATACATGCTGTGTACATGTTATATTTTTCTTACACAAATGTGATGTCCATGTAGAAAAAAATGTGTATTATGCTATGATAGAGACTATTTGACTTGCTTGTCAGTCTTTGGCTAGGACTGTTTGAATTATGACTTAATCATACCCATAGTAATCCCTTGAAATTTTTGGCATTTTGGTTAATTGTGATTAACATAACCTGTTGAAATGAATAAAACGGTTCTAGGCTTACTTAGGTTTAGATCTAGCACAGGCATGGGCAAACTTCAGCTCTCCATGTGTTTCGGACCTTCAACTACCACAATTCCTTACAGCCTATTTGTCTTGATGCCAGGACTCTGGCGGTACACAGGCAGAGATGAACCAAAAACAAACGCCTAGCTTGTGTTAAACTGTTTAATTAAAGCAGCACTTATTTTCTGGATGTTTAAATAGTCCAAAATATGAAAGATAAAGATAGCACTCGACCACAGAATATAAAACAAAGACTGATAGCAAACGCTATGCAGGTTCAAGAGGACACCATAGTCAAAGGATCCAGTCCAGTGGTCAAATGCCGGGAGTTCAAGGAGTACAGGATCAAGAGTATATACTGTTGTCAAAAGCCAGTCCAGAGATTCAAGGTTCCAGAGTTCAGGCAACACATCAGGATACCGAAAATCCACAAAGCTGGGGGGAAACCACCAGCATCCACCACCAAAATAGGACAAATACTTTTCTCCTGAAGATCAGTCCCAAGGTTAGCTCCTTATATCCAGTAAGACCCAGCTGCAACCTATCTCTTGCATGCCTCCATCCTTAATTGCTCTTACTTACAGATTACTCAGCCCTTTAGAACTAAAATTTACATTAATCCTTCCATCAACAACTGCTAGGCCTTCAACCACCAACCACCATTAACTGCAGAACATGATACATAACACTATCAGCTGTTAGGAATTGTGTTAGTTGGAAGGTCCAAAACACCTTGAGGGCCAATGTTTACCCATGCCTGATCTAGCACACTCTATTTCATACAACACAAATGTTTATTTATTTATTTTCATGTTTGAAATTGTCGAATCTTGATGGTGGAAAACTTTATCCATGAATAGAGATGACACTTGAAAAATGTACATGTTTTCAAGAAGAGTAATCCAGTGCAGTTATAAAAATGCCCCCGTCTAAAGATAAACCAAGAAAGGAGATGACAGCACAAGTTCATAGCACCTTATATGTCTTAATATTTAATACATATCACCAAGTGATGTTTCACATTTTTGTATTTAAAATACAGACCCGCGATCTAGTGACTCATCTTCCAAGATTACTGACTGGTAGTCTTGAAATTATTAAAGAAAATCTAAAGGTAAGTATTCTATTGATATGTTAGCATTTTAGTCATTCCATCTTAGAAATTATTTTAGATATTGCAGAAAGATATCCTGAAAGTTATAGATAGATTTTCGAAAGCAAAAACACATTTAAGACTAAGTCTGTATGAGTATTGCCCTTTGTAGATTTCAATGATAGAAGCCTGGAAAAACAATAACACTGGTTTCTTGGCACAGGCATTGAGATTCTAGTCAAAATCCTTGGTTTCTTTGCTCTAAAGTGACAGTCTTTCATATGTGATCCTAAGAATTTCCAGAGTTGTCCACAAAACTGCTTGGGATAATTTAGGCCTAAACTTTTGTTCCAGTCTGTAATAAATAAGAAAATGGCATTTTAAAGACTAGAGTGCAAGCAATGAATCTTACAACATTTTACATGGCTTTGACTTCCATATTGATTGAATAGTCAACATGTTTCTAAGAACAGAACTGTGGCTTATGTTGGAAAAAACCATGTGTTCCCTGAAAAGCTTTAGAAAATAGACTAAAGAGAGACCATACACATGCTTTTTAAAATTCACCATGATCTGCACAGCTGTAATGGAAGTTTATTATTTATTTAAGCCAACATGCCAAAGAAGTGTTACGCTTCATGTTTCTTAATATTTAGTGAAAATAGAACCCTCTTCCCTAAAGGTTTTTTAAAGTGACTTTGACTGCATTTCTCGTATTTGCTTGTATGTTTTCCTAGGTTTATGAACTTGAACTTGGCTTTACTCAGAATGAAATGCGGCACATTGTACACAGAATCCCCAAGAATTTAAGTAGAAATAAAAAGAAACTAACAGAGACATTTGATTATTTGCACAACATAATGGGCATTCCACACAAGCTCATGGTTAATTTTCCTCAGGTGAGATCCTTTTTAAATTATTCCTTACACATGTCCTCCTTTTCCTTCCAGCGGGTTCATGGTGGTGACTCTTCCTGCTGTATCCTCACACCTGTGAGAGTTAATTCTCAGTAGAAGTGACTAGCCCAGCATCCGTTAGTGAATTTCATTGCTCAGTGAGAACTTATAACTGGATTTCCCAAGTCCTAATTCAGGACTTTAACCACTACATCACAGAGGACCTTTGATGGTTACCTCCATGCCCACAGACTTTATAACAAAAAGTGTGATAAACAATTGATGGTGCAGTACTGAAGGCAAAACTATGTAGTCTACAAATTGTCTCCAATGTATGTTTTAAAATGTTTACACTTTGTTCACATTTATTTTAAAAAATGCAGGTGAATTAACTTTAAATATATGGGGTTTAATTCTATTCATATCTTACAGAACTAATGTGAGTGGGCTGTTGCTTACCTCTTGGCAGTCTTCCATTCATAGGACTGCCGTAATTTGAAAACAATTAACACTAACAAAATCCCACTGTTTTCACTATGACTTGCTCTAAAACAATTGTACTTAAGTTTATAATCTTACTACTGTAAATAGTTGGCTTTAACTTGTTTTTGCTTTTAATTTCAGGTTTTTAATTCAAAGCTGCTACGAATTAAAGAGAGACATATGTTTCTTACTTACCTGGGGAGAGCACAATACGATCCAAAGGAGCCAAGCTATATCTCATTAGAACAACTGGTAGCTTTGCCTGATGATGTGTTTTGTGTAGAAGTTGCCAAAGCAGAAGTACAGGACTTCGAAAAGTTTTTGAAAACAATGTAAAGACTGGATTTTAATGTAAATGTTGTAATGATGTCTGAAATTACTGCACTGAATAAAAAGTAACATCTAATTCTAAAATTTTAAAATATACTTTTTTAAGATATGGAGGGTAAAAAACACTACCTAATTGCCCTAAGTTGCTCTTAGCACCACAATTTTGAAAAGGTAACTCTTTGGGAAAGGGTAAACAAATGTCACCATCAAAAATATGATAAATGACCCACAGGCATAATTTTTATTTCAGTCCACACACTCATTCTGCTTGGCTGTAGTAATCAACATCAGAATGGCAGAGGCTTGGCATTGATAAATACATGTCTTAATTTAAAAGAATATTTTTTTCTAGGTTGATTTTGTCCCAGTGCTTACTGAGCCTAAATTACAATTTTTTCATGCTATAATTATTTTTGTTCTCCGCAGCACTAGCTGTACAGAGATTTCATACCATTTCTGTACCATCTTCTGCCCTTTGTCTTTTCCATGGCCACAATATTATACAGTCATAAAAATGCCTGCATAGCACATTCTTTGGGACAACATAGATCCTCTCTTGTCCAATTGTAATATAATATTTTTTAAGTGTTGTCATGATTGCTGCTGTAATAATCTTTGTAATGAAAACCAATTTCTAGTGTTTTTAAAGCTTCCACTATGCGATTTGTGGCTCTGGCTATCTCCAGAAGTTGAAACTTGGAACCAGCACGCTTCTACAGCACTCTACTTACAATGCCTGTCTCAGAAAACACTCTGAACACTTTGGAGGCTAACTGGCTTTGTGCAGAGCAGCAAAAGCTGCTTTATGTGGTTGTTACTATGCTGTATTGCCTGTGCAGAAGCAAGATGTTTGTGTGTCATCAGCACTGGGGTCGTGGTGACCGTGAAGTAAAGAGGGAGCTCTAGCTTACTCTGAGGCAAACATGGTACAAATGTTCTGTTTGTGGCTTCATTGCTGCCTATGCTTCTTAGAATGGCAATGATACATATCACCCCTGTGTAGCCAATGCAAAATGTGTTTTTATGGGAATGGATAAGGCCCAACAATGTTCCTTTGTTGTTGTCTAAAGTCAAGATGGAACCCTGTCCTGTTTGACTAGAAAGGCTTGTACTTCTTGGGCACTCTCATAATCCCAGGAAAATTGTTTAATATAAGGTAGGTTTGCTTACTGCATCTGAGATGTGGTGCTGCTGCTTCTTCTGGGTAGAGAAGTGCAATAGAGATCAGTCTATAATGGAGTTTTTTTTACAAAAATCCTGCTCTACGCCGTTGCATCCCGTACTTGAGTCCCCATACCAGGAGAAAGGTGCAATTAAAATAAAATAAAGAACCGCTTTAGGAATAGTTATCCCATTTGTAGTGTAAAAGGCCTATCTGGTTTCCACACTTTCATGTGCTTACACATAATGCACACTCAGTTATTTCACATGCTGTAGGTTTTGAGACCTTCAGGGTGACAATAAATTGTACATTTTACAAGTGGGTTAGGAACTGCAAGTAGAGACTAACTATATTTCATGTTCAGCTTTCCCAATAAATAATTACATAGTTATGAAAGTTAAATTGGGGAGAAGATAATAAGAAAGTTAATATTAATGTATGCTTTTTTATTCTCATATGGAATTAAACAGGAAAGTTTTACCAATGTTTGAGAAAAAGAATTTTCTTACTAGCATTAGCTCACAATGAAGGTGTGAATGGGACCTATATGGAATACATGCTTTCTACAGTGTCCTTGTTTATTCCATGGAAAAAGTTCATCATTGGTTTTAATTATTTCATGTATACATTATAATTCATGCTCTTCTAGGCACTCTTGCTGGGAGCTTATTCTCTGAGCGTGTGGGCTGTAGCCTACCACTCCTATCTGAGGAACTCAACCCCTGGTGCTAGAGGTGTATTATTGGCATTGAAACTTCATCCCACCCATATCCTTTCTGAAAAGATCAGTTGAGTCATTTATACATAATGGAAAGAACAGGCTTCTCGATTTTTAAAGGAGATAGACACTGAGAGGAAAAACAGAAATGAACAATAGCGGATGATTCTAATAAAGATTTGAGGGTTTTTTTTTTAATGGACCAACTTGACTGTTCTTATTTGGTATTGTTTCTTTCCCCCTCTGGAAAATTCTGTATTAAGCAGGAAAGAATCTACCACCAGATGATGATTTTCTAGCCTTGGGATTTCATGATAAAGGTTCCATTCTCACCATTTACATATTTATGGCTAAACAGGATGGCTGTAGATTTGATGAAAGATTGTGATTCCTTGTCCTGCTCAGATATGATAAGGTTAAAATTTATGGGAAAGAGAGGTGACTGTCAAATTAAGGGGGGAAATATGCTCATTTTGGACAATCCAATCTCACACCGTCTAAGATCCCAACCCTCCAGAGCCACTTTCCTAGGAAGCAGAAGAAAGAATGGTCATGAGATAAAATTCAGTCTTAACATCATGCATTGAATCTAATTGTTTCCTGCACTCAGACTATGTTTGGGTACAATCTACTCTACTTTGATAAATGTACCAATTCTAACATCCCATTGACTGTAAGATGCACACTAATTTCAGTGCCACCAACTGAAAAAAGCTTTATATAGATAAGATGCACCCTGTTTTAGGGATGTTTATATGTGGGAAAAGTGTGTCTTACAATCAAAGAAATAGGGTAATTATTCTTGGGTAAAAAGTTATGTTAAGCATAGCAGTGTGTTCCACAACCAGCAGAAAATGACCAGCTGATTTTGTTTTCAATTGTTTTTCCCCCCAAGTGTCACATTCACTGCAGACTAAGCTAGTAGATTGAAAGAGGTTCCCTTCTGTTGCTCGTTTTCTAGTTCTTTTTCTCAACTAAACAGTCCAAAATATTGCCCCATTTCATACTAGAAGTTATGTTCCCTTGGGGTTATCTATCGTGGGACTGAGCTGGAGTTACTGCACATATTTTTCTCAGTTGCCCCTGGAACTCTACCACTGGGAAGCCCTAGCCCTTGAGCGCTCTAATTGGAGGTCAGCTGTGACCAGCAGTGCTGCAGAAATCAAAGAGACACGAATAGAGGACGAAAGGGAGAAATGTGCCAAGAGGAAGGCATGTCAAGCCAACCCTGACCGAGACCGCCTTTCATCTGGAAACTGATGTTCTCACTGTGAGAGAACATGCGGATCAAGAATAGGGCTCTACAGCCACCTACGGACCCACCACCAAGACACCACATCTGGAAGACAATCATCCTCAAGCCAGGAGGGATCGCCTAACAACACAATGATAATAATAATAGTAAGAAGAAGGATACAAGTTGAGTAACAACAATAATAAGAGTTACAGGCAATTGCATTGACCATTCCTTTCTCATGGAACCATCAAAAGCCACTCTCGCAAATCTCACCTTAAAAGAATTTGTAATTTAGGCCTAGGATTAGAATTTGAATTCCCGCTCGATCGTGAAAATCCACAGGGCGACCTTGGGCAAGTCACTGTCTCTCAGCCCCAGAAAACTCTGCAACAGGGTTTGCATAATAATAATCAGAAGTTTGCACTTAATTAGCAGGAGAGAAAGAAGAAAAGGGACAGAGTTTTGCTCTTCTCTATAGACCAGGCAAACTTGGGCCTTCAGCTGCTGAGGAGGAAAAGGAAAGGGCCTGACGCTGTTAGGAATGGTGGGAGTTGAAGTCCAAAACACTTGGACAGCCCAAGTTGGCCCATGCCTGATATACAGGGTGAGGCAACATAACTTCCTTTTTAAAAATGCGCGCCATTCAGTCGGTTGAAGACGTAGTGGAGCACTAGTGGTCTTGTTCGAGAGGCAGGAGTATAAAGTTTTGTCCTGACACAGTTCAGTCACCATCATGCGTTGGAACAGTGAGGAGTGTGCTTTTGTCGTTGAGGCCTGCTTTTCGAGCGGATTTGGAATGGCCGACCCACTCTCCAGATTTGGGCCCTTGTGATTTTTTTTTCTATGGGGTTTTTGGAAATCCCGGGTTTGTGTGAACCGTTTAAGGACCCTAAAAGATTTGAAGACCATCCAGGAAGAAATTGCCAGCATAACGCCTGCTATGCTGGCAAGAGTCATGACAAACGCCAGAAATCGGTTTACTCAGTGTATGGAGAATGGGGGACGTCACCTACCTAATTTGATCTCCAAAACTACGTAAAACAATTTTTTTTTGTCGTGTCAGGAGCGACTTGAGAAACTGCAAGTCGCTTCTAGTGTGAGAGAATTGGCCGTCTGCAAGGACGTTGCCCAGGGGACGCCCAGATGATTTGATATTTTTATCATCCTTCTGGGAGGCTTCTCTCATGTCCTGCATGAGGAGCTGGAGCTCATCTGCCTCTCCCTGGATTCGAACCTGCGACCTGTCAGTCTTCAGTCCCGCCGGCACAGGGCTTTAACCCACTGTGCCACCGGGGGCTCCGTAGTTAGTAGTGAGTAGTAGTTAGTAGTTTGCACTTAATTAGCAGGAGAGAAAGAAGAGGGACAGAGTTTTGCTCTTCTCTATAGACCAGGCCTGGGCAAACTCTGGCCTTAAGCAGCTGAGGAGGAAAAAGAAAGGGCCTGAGGCTATTAGGAATGGTGGGAGTTGAAGTCCAAAACATTTGGAGGGCCTAAGTTGGCCCATGCCTGATATAGAATCAAGAGTTGGAAGAGACCACATGGGCCATCTAGTCCAACTCCCTGCCACGCAGGAAAAGCACAATCAAAGCACCCCGGACAGATAGCCATCCAGCCTCTGTTTAAAAGCTTCCAAGGAAGGAGCTTCCACCACACCTCTAGGCAGAGAGTTCCACTGTTGAACAGCTCGTACATTCAGGAAGTTCTTCCTAATGGGCCCAAGTTAGCTCAGGCCTGGTCTATAGGCACCCACAATCTGTTTCATGCAGGAACTGAAAATATCCATCACTTCCCAATTGGTACTCATACTAAAATCATAACCACCATCTAATTTTTCCCCAATGTTTCCAGAGGAGGGCAGCTTAAGGCGAGGGATGCAAATCAGTCTGTGCTGAGAAACAGTGGTCATGTGACGGAGCGGGTCACGTGACTCAGAGGCAAGGAGGTCGTCTTTCCCGAGACGCACTGCGGCTGCGCTTCTCGGAGGTCAAGATGGCGGCGAGGGCACCTGGTGAGTGGAGGAAAGAGGGCGAGTGCGGACGTGTTAACAGCGGTAGAGAAGGCCGCTGGAGAGGGGTTCATTGGAGAGGCGAGGAAGGGAAGATCACCCCAGCCTTGAGGTTTCTGAGCCAAAGCCAGGCCTCCTGTAGGATTAATGCAGGTTGCTGCCCCTTTAACAGCCCAGGCTCAATGCCATACAATCATAGAAGCTGTGTTGTAGTTTTTTCGGGCTGTATGGCCATGTTCTAGAAGCATTCTCTCCTGATGTTTCGCCTGCGTCTATGGCAGGCAACCTCCGAGGATAGATGGAGGCCAAACGTCAGGAGAGAATGCTGTTCTAGAACATGGCCATACAGCCCGAAAAACCTACAACAACCCAGTGATTCCTGCCATGAAAGCCTTCGACAATACATAGAAGCTGTAGTTTGATGAAGCGCCAGCGTTCTTTGATAGAGGAGGCTAAAGGCCTTGTAAAACTACAACTAGGGAAGTCATGCTACCACTCTATTCTTCCTTGGTTAGACCACACCTGGAATACTGTGTCTAATTCTGGGCACCACAATTGAAAAGAGATATTGACCAAGCTGGAATGTGTCCAGAGGAGGGCGACTCAAATGATCAAGGGTCTGGAGAACAAGCCCTATGAAGAGCGGCTTAAAGAGCTGGACATGTTTAGCCTGAAGAAGAGAAGGCTGAGAGGAGATATGATAGCCATGTATAAATATGTGAGAGGAAGCCACAGGGAGGAGGGAGCAAGCTTGTTTTCTGCTTCCCTGGAGACTAGGACACGGAACAATGGCTTCAAACTACAAGAGAGGAGATTCCATCTGAACATTAGGAAGAACTTCCTGACTGTGAGAGCCGTTCAGCAGTGGAACTGTTGCCTCACACTGTAGAATCAGACTTGGAAGAGACCATGGGCCATCTAGTCCAACTCCCTGCCACGCAGGAAAAGCACAATCAAAGCACCCCTGACAGATGGCCATCCAGCCTCTGTTTAAAAGTTTCCAAAGAAGGAGCCTCCACCACACTCCGGGGCAGAGGCTGGATGGCCATCTGTCAGGGGTGCTTTGAGTGCAACATTCCTGCTTCTTGGCAGGGGGTTGGACTGGATAGCCCATGACGCCTCTTCCAACTCTATGATTCTCTTGATTCCATGACAGCTCAAATGCTGTCAAGCTGTATTAATTCTTTAGTGTTTAGGTGCACCCCTTGAGGTCTTGGGATGCTCCCAAGTGAGCCATGTCCTAAATACCCACCTTAGTTGCTCACAACTAATTTATTTATTTAAAACATTTATATTCTGTGCTTCTCCCCCGGCAGGGGACTCAGGGCGGAGCACAACATAGATACAGCAAACATTCAATGCCGGGACATAAAACCATATATATGCGAACATTAAAATCACTTATTTCCACATTAAAAGTTGCTTAAAACCCATCTCAGGACACCATTTTGCCTCATTGAACTGCCCCAAAGGCTTGGTCCCACAGCCAGGTCTTCACCATCCTTCTGAAGGACAGGAGGGAGGGAGCTGATCTAATATTGCCAGGAAGGGAGTTCCATAACCGGGGGGGCAATCACTGAGAAGGCCCGGGCTCTCGTCCCCACCAAACACACCTGTGATGCTGGCGAGACCAAGAGCAGGGCCTCCTCAGAAGATCTTAGTTTCTGCGGTGGTTCGTAAAGGGAGATGCGTTCAGACAGGTAAACTGGGTTGGGGCCATTTAGGGCTTTATAGGCCAAAGCCAGCACTTTGAATTGAACATGCAGCCTGTGGAGCTGACATAACATGGGAGTTGTGTGCTCCGTGTATGCCGCCTCAGTTATTAACCTGGCTTCCTCTCATCGGACTATTTGAAGCTTCCGAACCAATTTCAAAGGCAACCCCACATAGAGCGCGTTGCAGTAGTCTATCCGGTAACTAAGGTGGAACATATTTTCCTTCTTGGCAAAATAAACAGAAATCTTAGCTGAAGGAGCTGTTCCTGGATCAAGGTGAGGTAAGGGAATTTATTCCTTTCCATTTACTGAGGGAGATGGTTCCAGCTAGAGCAGACATGGGCAAACTTGGGCCCTCCAGGTGTTTTGGACTTTAACTCCCACCATTCCTAGCAGCCTTGGGCCCTTTCCTTTTCCCCCTTAGCTGCTTAAGCCAGAGGCTGTTAGGAATGGTGGGAGTTGAAGTCCAAAACACTAGGAGAGCCCAAGTTTGCCCATGCCTGAGCTAGAAGATGGATACAGAGTAGAAAAGAGGCACCGCAAAAACAGACAGGGAAGAAATAATAATGATAATAATAATAAACAAGGTTATTTATAGACCGTCTTATCTCCCCAAAGGGACTTAGGGCGGTTTCCAACATGTATAACAAACATTCAATGCCAGGAGGAAAAACATACACACAAATTAACATCAAAACAAATCAAGTTAAACAATATAACAGCTACATAAACCAGGCGGGCACCCTCAAACTACAGTCCTCCAGCTGTTTCAGCCTTCCAACTCCCAGAATTCCCAACCATTGAACAAGCTGGCTACGGCTTCTGGGAGTTGAAGGCCCAAACAGCTGGAAGTTTACAGTTTGAGGCTGCCTGACATAGGGCCCTTCCACATATCCCAGAATATCAAGGCAGAAAATCCCACTATATCTGCTTTGAACTGTGTTATCTGAGTCCACATTGCCATATATTCCAGTTCAAAGCAAATAATGTGGGATTTTATGCAGCTATGTGGAAGGGGCCTGAGTCCACACTCAGATAATGTGGGATTTCCTGCCTTGATGTTCTGGGATACAGGGTTGTGTGGAAGGGCCCATAGACCCTCCTAGAATTCCAAAGCAACAAGTCATGGCAATTAAAGTGGTGTCAGACAGCATTAACTCTACAATGTCAGAAGTGAAACACTACAGCACTAGAAGTTGAAGGAACCATGGCATGTTAGATCTGGAAGAAAGCCTAAGGCTATTTAGTTTTGTCTCTGCCATGCAGGAAAATACAATTACAGTACTTCTGAAGGACACCCACCAATCTCTGTTTAAATTCCGTCAAAGAAGAAGTGTTCACTGCCCTTCAAGGCAGTCTATTCTGTCATTGAATAGTTGTCACAGAAAATAACATTGTTTTTAAGGATTGTATAGAATCTCTTTTTATGTAACCAGACTTCATGGGGGGAAGAATGTCTCCACTGAATCTTTATTACCAATCTTTGCTTCCACAACAAGCCACATTTTTCAAAGTCCAATTATCACAGGGACAAAAAGTGAGATGAAATCTTTTGAACCAGGTCACAGACAGCAAAACAAACCCCACAGGGGTGTTAACCCTTTCCTATGCTTTCCAAAACTAATATATATGGCTGGGTGACACTTTAAAATGTACCTGTTCCAATTTACATACAAATTCTACTTAAGAACAAACCTACAGAACCTATCTTGTTCGTAACTTGGGGACTGCCTGTTCTTGGTTTTCCAGTCTCAATTAATGGTGATAATTCGTGTTTCTAGCTGCAGCCAGTGGTCGTTTGCTTGAAAGTGTGCGGAAGTGGTATTACAATCTAGCCGGATTCAACAAACTTGGTAGGTGTCTCAACTTACGTTTACTGTAAAGCCCTTATTGCAAAACAACAACACAAATAAAGCACAAAAATTCCTACCCAAAACAAAAAGCCTGGTATGATTTTAGCATAACTAAAAAGATTTTTTGTATGAGAAAATATTCAGTGTGGCTTTTTTGTACCAACTGGTAATATTTTAATTTATGTGCATGTGAGTCAAGGTTTGTTGTGCTTACCTATTGGCCGGAATTAACTGACCCTTTATATTTGATGTAGTAAATATTGTAAAGTATTGTAAATATCGTAAACATTTGATACAGCAAGAGTGAGCCTGCTTGCCTCTGAGCCCTTGCTGCATGCCTTCATATTATTTCCAACTTAACAGCAGCTCAAAAGCAAATGTATTACAGTATTTTATTGGGAAGATTTGCTCAGAGGGAGTTTGCCATCTTTCTGAGGCAAGTAGAATGTGCCTTGCCACTGAGTTTCCATAGTTAAGCAGGGATTTTGGCCATGGTCTACTAGACTCCTAGTCCAACGTGCAAACCACTATCCCATGGTGTCTCTCAGGGTAGCAAGTGTTTTTTCCACTTGCTATAACTTGCAGATATCTTCAAAGTGAAACACAAATCTTGTTAACTATGAAGTCCAATAAGTCAGTCCCACTGTGTTCTATACTCAAATAAGTATTTACAGGATTGCAGCCTAAATTGCTGGTAGGCAAATGCTGCTTTAGATAATGTATTACTCTGTCTTGCTGCTAGAAAAGATTCTATCCCATTCGTGCAATTTATTATATGCTCTTTGATATTTTTTCTGTATGATTGAATTTGGTTTTAGAAATTGTTCAGTGCTCTTAACGGTGAATATAAAGCCTGCTGTCATTGTGCCTGTTCGACAATATTTGGTTAGTAAGTGGCGCACTGGTTCTTTATCAAGTAAAGGCCCAATCATAATATGAATGACTAGGCTAATGAGACTTAATGGGGAGTGGCATTTTGTGTACTTATTTTCAACCTATTCAGTTTACAGTATTTGTGCTTTACTTGGTTATTCTATTCTGGCCCTTAACAGAGTCATGTGTGGAATGATTTGCTCTTGTCTCAATGAGTTCTAAGTTGAGACATGAATAATGTGTCATATTAATTTTCATAGAATCCAGATTCAGATAATTTACCGTGGAATCTTGTGTGTATTCAGGACTGTGTACTGTTGAACTAAACAAGTTATTCTCAAGTGGAGAACTTTGGAGCCCAAAATAATACTCAAATACTTTATTCAAAACAAGCCCAAACGTTTTACTGCTCTAAGCAACCTAAAGCAGGCATTTGCGAATACTGAGTAATGGACATAAGAATGGAATCAACTACAAGATGGGATTGGACATTGTTTTTATGAGTATTTATTGAATTATGTTTTATTACAGCTGTTATGATTTTATTGATGTTAATGTTTTTATATTGTAATTGTGTTTTTGGTGGCATTGAATTTTGTCTTGTAAACTGCCTCAAGTCACCAGAAGGCTGAGAGGGGTGATATACAAATACAGTAAATAAATAAATAAATAAATAAATAAATAAAGGGCTTCCTTCATAATTTAGGCTGATACGTTATGCTGGTGTCAGCTTAACTACACATATTGAATAACGGTAACTTGATAAGTCAGCATTAATGTAAGTTAAAGAATTTAGTGATCCAAATCTAGTGGGAACTAATAATAATATGAGATCAGTACATTTGTACTAGAGTATTTAGTACATTTATTATTTTCAAAAATTTAAAAGCCTGAGTTTTGTACAAAATTGTGAATATACAGGGTATCTATAAAGTCTCTTTACCATTTAAATGGTAATAGACTTTACATCAGTGATTTGGGCCTCCAGGTGTTTTGAACTTCAGCTTCAGTTCCTAACAGATGGTAAGCTGGCTGAGATTTCTGGGAGTTGAAGTCCAAAACACCTGGAAGCCCAAAGCTTGGGAACCACTGATTTAAATGGTAAATATACTTTATAGATACCCTGTATTCCCAAGAGAGATGCAAACTTCTGCATCCTCTGCTACTTAAATATATATGTCTTAGGGTTTTTTTCCCCGGTGATTCTATTTACAAAATAAAAAGAAATGCAAACATATATGGACATTGGTTGTGGTGGGCGAGAATTAAGTTCAGGAGGCTGGTATTTCAGATTTTTCTGAGCCTTCGCGTTGCTATTTTTGGATAAGTAAATAAAGCAATGTCTTATATTTGTCATGATTATTTTAATGCAGCTCCTCCAGAGTGAATAATTCAGTGGCTATAGTCTAGAGCAAAGTGTTCTTGTCCTTGAGAGCAGGAGAAAGATGTCAAGTTGGGCATTGATTGCGACACACACAAAGACTTTGATGCTCTTAAACTTTAGCTTTATCTGCCTTTGTTGGTACTTAACTAGTATTTTGGTTAATTTAACATTTTACAGGACTTCTGCGAGATGATACAATGTATGAAGATGAAGATGTGAAGGAAGCACTAAAGAGACTTCCTGAAGAGAAGTACAATGAGAGAATATTTCGTATCAAGAGGGCATTAGATTTGTCCATGAGGCAACAGATCCTTCCTAAAGAACAGTGGGTAAAATATGAAGAGGTATGAATTTACATAAATTTCCAGTGACTTAAGCCAAACAAACGGGAGTTGGTGTACTTTGACTGAAAGAATCCTTCTATGTTCAAATAGTTCTTAGTGTGCTTGTAATTGCTGTTAGGTCAGGTTAGTGCAGTAAAAAATGTTCAGAAAATAATGTTGCATCAGTCTTTAGACCTTAAAGCAGCATTTCTCAACCTGGGGGTTGGGACCCCCGGTGGGGTCACAGGGAGGTGTCAGTGATCACCAAAGACCACCAGAAATAGTATTTTCTGTCGGTCACAGGGTTCTGTGTGGGATGTTTGACCCAATTCTATCGTTGGTGGGATTCAGAATCCTCTTTAATAGTAGGTGAAATAGAAATTCCAGCAACTACAACTTCCAAATGACAAAATCAGTGCCCCTCCAACCCTACCAATATTCAAATTTGGGCGTAATGGGAATTTGTGCCAAATTTGGTCCAGTGAATGAAAATACATCCTGCATATCAGATATTTACATTACAATTCATAACAGTAGCAAAATTACAATTATGAGGTAGCAATGAAAATAATTTTATGGTAGGGGGTCACCACAACATGAGGAACTGTATTAAGGGGTCGCGGCATTAGGAAGGTAAAGAAACACTGCCTCAAAGCCTTAAATTTATACTCAACTTTATAATATTATCCATCTTGATCTGTAATAGAAAGTTATACATTATTTAATGCATATATTAAAATATGGCTATCGGTGTCTTGCCATACTTGAGCGTGGTGGTATTACAGATACCCAGGAAAGGTCTGTGCAGATAAGGGAAAGCTTTCTTCCAAATAATAGGACCAAGGAGAACAAGATTTTAAAACTTGGATGTTCCAATGTGCGTTTGAATAATGGTTTAGCTACCGATCAGGTCTGCCTAGCCCTAAATTATTGTTTGGTTTTCCACCACTTTACTTCCACCCCTGACACCACAGTTTGCCTTTGCACAAGCCCTTACCCTGCCCTCTCAAATCTGAACGTGCCCACCTTTCCCGACTACTGGTTGTTGATGTTGGTTGATGTATTTTTATAATGTTTTTATTGTTCTGGTTTTAATTGTTTGAATTCTATTTTTATTATTATATGTTTTTAATTGTGTTACATTGTAACCCCTGTCTGTGCTGGGCTTGGTCCCCATGTAAGCCGCCCTGAGTCCCTTCATGGAGATGGTGGTGGGATATAAGAATAAAGTAGTAGTAGTAGTTGTTGTTGTTGTTGTTGTTGTTGTTATTGTTATTAAAATAACCTGGATTGGTCTTGAGTTATAACTGAAAATAAGATAAATTTTCTGATGTTAAACATATCACCAAGATAAAAACTAAATGGATACAATTGCAAGCTAACAGCAAGTATCAGATGAAATGACTTTGAAAGGTTACACCAAGTTTTGTAATACCTTGAAAGCTAACACATCCAAGTGGGACACATGGTTTCTTGAACTAGTTCTCTCTATGCCATAAAAGCTTAGGCCATGATTATCTTTGATAAGGATGGAACTGTACTTCTTAGGGGTGAAAAGCTCCTGGAGTGGCTCAACTTAACTTCTCTTCATAGAATCCTAGAGTTGGAAGAGACCTTGTGGCCCATCCAGTCCAAGAAGTAGGAAAATCATAAACACGTTAAATGCAAGGCTGTGGGTTTAGTCAGAACATGTCTTAATCCTTTGGTATCTAAAAAAAGTTTGGTAGGTCCAAGAGGCTAACTGTATTGGTGTAAAAGTATATGAGATGAACTTTTGTTGCAACAGAGAACAAGGCCTGTAGAAGTTGAACCTCAGCAAAATTCGGAAAAATGTATTCTCTTCCTTACAACAGGTAGTCTGTTAAGGGTGAAGTGCTATGTAGTCAGCACTTCTGTTAAACTTGCTCTTACAATAAGATGCACCCATTTCCAATATCCTTAATGTTCTCGTTTTCAGGATAAACCATATCTGCAGCCATACCTGAAAGAAGTCATTCGTGAAAGACTTGAAAGAGAAGAATGGGACAAGAAATAATTGCTGCTGTCATTGGTTCGTTCAAGTGTTTGTTTCAAAAAATTAAATTATATGATTCAGGTAGGGACATCTGTTGAGCACTTTTGAGTATTGAGAAGAAATCTGTGCAACTCTTTGCTCACTGGTATGTGTTCATCCAACTCAAATAAACATTACCAAATCTTGGAATCCTCTCTCCTAAATTGCAAAGAATTGGTTCAAGTCTGTTTTAGCAACATTCCCTGCCAACATGGTGATCTGTGATCGTCATTCCAGTTGATTGAGTCATCCTGTCTGTCATAATACAGCTGTTTCCTGCAGCTGAAAGGATAGATAAGCAACAGCATTTCAAGTTTGTTTCTATTCTTCTGATTCATTTCAAAGGGGACACTCATCTGCAGAATGAGATATATATATATATATCTCCATCATCACCTCTTCTTGCCATGGACGGGGATGCAGCAACATAAATATTCAACAGCAGCAAAGCTAGATTGGGATTACGTCATCCTTATCATGTCTACCCAAACAAATAGAATGCTACATTAATAATACCTTAGGAATCTGTATTTCCTGCCAATCTTTAAATAAAGACAATTGCCTCATGTAACCTGAATTAGTCATTTGGACAAATATACTGAATTACTGAGACAAATCTGGTTTGCATGCTTCAGCCACATTGACTGTAATTTGAAATAAAATTCCATTAGGATCAAGAGGACCTGCTTGGAGTAAAAAGGTGTAGAATTCAGTGGTCAGTGTTGAAATGTGTTGCTTCATATGTAGAATGAGTAAGCAATGGTCTCCTTCTGAGCGTTTGTCCATGTTAGTGAGAAGAAAGGAAAGTAAAAACATGACATCCCCACTTCTCCTGTAACATTCAACATTGGGAACAAGAAAACCCAGGGGGCTCCAAATTGGCCCAAGTAAAAGTTGGCAAAGCAGAAGCATGTGTCTGTTTTCTCTACTTCTTGAGTCCGCATGAATTTAACCTGTAATGCAATCAAACTAATACAGATAATTCCTATTAGACGTGCTGAGTTGGGTGATTAAGTTGCAGTTCAGTAAGGGCCACATCTGTAGCACTGAATACAAACAAAGCCACTTGAGTTGTATAATCTTTTAATCTTACACGTTCTTTAAAAAAGAATTACGTTTTCACTGAACATAGGTAAAGATAAAGGTTTCCCCTTGACATCAAGTCTAGTCGTGTCCGACACTGGGGGGTAGTTCTCATTTTCATTTCTATGCCCAAGAGCCGGAATTGTCCATAGACACCTCCAAGGTCATGTAGCTGGCATGACTACATGGAGCACCAATATTTCCCACCAAAGCGGTACCTATTGATCTACTCACATTTGCATGTTTTTTTTTTAACTGCTAGGTTGGTAGTATCTGGGCCTAAAAACGGGAGTTCACCCCACTCTCCGGATTTGAACCACCAACCTTTCAGTCAGCAGGTTCAGCAGCTCAGTGGTTTAATCCGCTGTACCAACAGGGGACCCTCAGTAACACAGCCAGATTACAGACACTCAGTGAACATGGGTGTCTGCAATCTGGCTGTCTTGTAATTTACTCTAGAATGCTGAGTAAATCATACAAAATGTATAGTTAGATTTAATAACATTTCAACTATTAACTGTGTTATGAAACTATCTGTCTATATTACCAGAGTTATAGTAGCTGTGGTAATATGATAACACATATTTCTGTGTTGTGCTTTGTGGTGTCTTACAAGACTGACGTTTAATATGCCATGTAGTGCAGATCATTTCATCACATCTCCAGTATAGAATCATAGATTGGAAGAGACCACACAGGCTATCCAGTCCAACCCCATTCTGCCATGCAGGAAAAGCACAAACAAAGCACCCTCAACAGAAGACTATCAAGCTTCAGTTTCAAAACTTTCAAGTCATTTCCAACTTACGGAGATTCTAAGGTGAACATGTCACAGGGTTATCTTGGCAAAATTTGTTCAGCGGGAGTTTAACATTGCCCAGATCTGAATTCAGTAAGTTGTAACACAAGTAACTGTGATGCGAAGAGATAATTCATTGATGTGCTTGTCTTTGTATTTTGTCTGAGGCAGTCTTATCACTTTGAATTCTGTATGTGTATTGTTGGAGCTCATTTTGAAGCGCAGAGAGGTTAAAAAGGAAAGAGAGTTTAGTGCTTCCTTGGTGTTCTTCTCCTACCAGGCTTTACTTGTAGGAATATTCGATATTGATATTGAGGTGAGTGCAAGGGTAACCAGTGCAATATGAGCTTGTGGTACAAAAGCAGGAGAAAATATTCCTGAACACTCTTATAAAGTGAAAAAAGAAAAACCTATATTTATTGTCTCAAGAAATCCATCTTGGGATAGGAAAGGAAATTGCAGGAGAAGAGCCCCTAAGGCTGACTCTTGATGCAAGACAGGAACCTCATGGGTTCTGCCTTTGTAGACACCAGTAGACAAAGGACTCATAAACTTTTGAAGAAGAGGGAAGTGACATCTGCAAGCAAATAGGAAGCAAAAAGGTTGAGTCTACAGATCAAAGGAAGCACAGAAAAGTAAAACAAAAGGGCAAACATGCTCTCTAGAGTTCCCTCACACTAATCACTTTATTGAACATTCACGTCTGTCTTTGCTTCTGTTATTACTTTGGTGCTCCTCCTGGAGGGAAAAATAGCTGGGGAAACTAGTATGTGATTGAGGGTTCGACTTCCCAAATATACTTAAATTTTGTATTTGCAGGCGAAACGTCAGGAGGGAATGCCACTAGAACATGGCCATATTGCCCGAAAAAGCCTACAACAACCCAGTGATTCTGGCCATGAAAGCCTTCGACAATACATTATCTCTTTAGTGTTGCTTGCACTTATTTCCTAGGAGTGGAATAGTCTTAGCTACAGTAGCATCAGATGTTTTGTTGATAAATCAAACATGATGGCGGCAGACCTGTCTATTTAAACAGATCCATATTTCCACCAACCATATTGATTTTTGTCCTGTGGAGTCCACGGATTGGATTTTTTTGTCTATTGTAAATCACCCTGAAAGCCTGTTTGCATGCAGAAGGGCTTTGGTTCGGCTCCTACATCTCCAAGTACAGCTGGGAAAGATCCTGTGTAAAATCCTGAAGAGCTGTTATTAATCAGTGTATGTAGTGCTCAGCTATGGTCTGGAATAATATAAGGCCGCTTCCTACATTTATACAAATAATTTCAAAAGACATAGGCAAGACAAAAATGCCAAATTGTTTAGAAAACTGTTCAAATTAAAATGGGCATCAAAAAGATAAATCTATTTAATCTTAAATATATCTCTATTTACGTATTACAAAATCAATTTTAGTTCATGTACGTGTAGAATGAAAATTGTAAATGGTTGCTTGCAAGTATTATGATTAATCATTTCAAGACATGATATTAATTTTAAAGTGCCATGTTTTTGTGTGTACACAGCATAGTATTCTTTACCTTGGCACTAAATGGGAGTGTATCATAGATCTACAAAGTGCTTCACCGATTAACTTTAAAAAAACAAACCACATTTTTCAATATGACAGCACCTTAATGTTTATGACCCACAGGAGAATTTACTACTAAGTCATGTACTGATGTAATGAAATCTAATATATGCTGTGTAAAATGAATTATGAGATGCTATTTAGTTTCAGGATTTTATTACTTCAATCACTCGTAGTTGTATTTCCTTTTCTATTATTGCTTAGTCTTTAAACAGTGCAGATGACTGTATAAAGAACACCTAATAAAATCTGGAGATGTTAAAACATAAATGTTAAATGTTTTAACATGCTTGCTATAATTTTTAAAGCTACACTTGCTTTCCCATCACAATGTTATTGACTTAGATGGGTGGATAAATACAGGCACATATATCTACTGCCTTGGGAAACATATCTGGTGGGAACATGAGAAAGAGCTTGTTCAGTTGGATGCTCCCAGATTCTGATACTTCTGATACAGGAAACTGGGCCCCTCTCTTTTTGCTATCAGGTTTTTCTATATAACTCCAGAAACAAATCAGTTTAGAGATCCAATGTGGTATAGTAGTTTGAATGTTTCATTACAGCTCTAGAGACCATACTTTGGTTTACCAATTGGTCGTGGAAACCCACTGAGTCACCTTTGGTAAGTCAGATATGCAGCCACAGAAAATTTCATAGCGGATTTGCATTAGTGTTGTTATTAGTCAGAAATGACTTGATGACACAAAAAATAGGATTGGAATGCCAATCAGGCTGCCTTCCTCTATATACGGCCTGCGAAATCTACACCAGAAGCTTTGTTTGTTGTTTTGCAAATAGCATGATACCATTCTGTGGTACTAAAAAGAAAGGCCTTCTCAGTTGGGATGCCCACCTTCTGGTACACTTTCCCCTATGTGGTCCCAAGGATAAATATTGCATTCTATTTCAAATGACTATTGAAACAATGCAGGCCTTACCCAGCTGAAAACTTAATATGTGTTCTATTTTTCCAATGGACCCGCCACAGTGGTTCAGTTCTGGGGCCCACCATGGGTACAAAAAATCCATAGGTAACCATGCCCTATATTATTAAATGATGGCATTGTCTACATTCACAAAACTGCCATTTACTAATATGGAGTACAGTGAGCCTTGGTCGCTAGAAATTGCTAATCTGGCAGCCCCACTGTATAATCTTTAATTATAAAATATTTACATATTTTTATGCTGGAGGCAGGCATGTAGCCAGGGGGGGGGCTCGGGGGGCTTCAGCCCCCCCCCCCCAAAATTCTCATGGTGGTTCACGAAAAGGCCTTACTGGTGCATTATTTAAACTGTTATGTTTATTAATATCATGATTTGATCACCATTCTCAATATATCCCATATGTATGGGGGTATTGGGGTAATGATACAAAAGGTTTGCTAGGCTAGACCCTCTTTCACTCAGACTCAGCCCCCCCCCCGAAACTCAGCCCCCCCCGAAACCCCCCCCCCTGAATTTTTTTTAGCCCCCCCCCCCCCCCGAAACGAAATCCTGGCTACGGGCCTGGCTGGAGGCTGCTTAGGAATGTTTATTATTTCATAATGTTTATTTAATACATAAGTCACTACTGCAAGATGCTACTGGTGTGAGAGAATTGGTTGTCTGCAAGGATGTTGCCCATGGGACGCCCGGATGTTTAATGTTTTACCATCCTGTAGGAGGGGT